CACACACACACACACACACAGAGCGTTGCACTTCAACAGGTGTGATGTCAGCAGGGGCTCAGCATGGCGCCACATGTTGCTATGGTGACCAGCAGGCGCCTAGCGACCAACAGTTGCTCTCATCTTCTTCCTTTCCCTTCCTCCTCATCTTTTTGTTTTCTTGTCTCCCCTCATTTCTTCTGTTTTCATCTCATCTTTCTTTGCCTCTCTTCCAATCCTCTTCCTCTCTCTTCCCACACTCACACATCCATTGGTAGTGCAAAAGGAGAAAAGCACCTGATAGGTGGTGATGGTACTGCAAGTCCACACACACACACAAATGCACACCGACACACACATGACACTTTCCATGTTGCCACTTCAGTGAACTGTGTGAGTGCAGGCTCATGTAGTTTGTCTGCACCTGTGTACTTGTGTGTTTGCTTGTGTACATATGAGTGCACCTGCAGGTGTGTTTGAATGCAAAAGTATGTTTTCTCAGCCTTCTAATTCCTTCTGGCATGTTGTCACAGCCATTTAGCAAGGATTAGAGAAGCGTATTTGGAATTTAAAATTTGAATGACCATTATTGGACAGTAAAATCAACACTACCAAATAAATATCCAGATTTTTTTTCTTAGGTGAACAGAATAGTAAATAAACCAGTCAGTAATGTGACAAAACAGCAGAAATTGAGGGAGATTAAAGGAATTAAAAGACAAAAGATGAAATAAAGCTTCTTTTTTTTGTTGTTTGTTTTATGACTTACTTGATGCTGCTCAGCTGCCTTTTTTTAGATTTGGTCAGTTTCAGTTCAAGTGTAGTATTTCAGGCGACCCTTCATCAGTAGTCGTTCAGTAGTGTTCTGCTGGTTGTAGCATTCTCAGGAAATTGAACTAAGCAAACAAACCAAACTGTGGTGTCTGTCGGCTTTCTTTCCAGGTCCTGTGAATTTTAGAATCCCAATCAGAAACAGCTTTATTGGCCAGGTGTGTTGGACATAGGAGGAATTTGACTCTCAATGTGTACGTGCATATCAACAAGCAAAGGAATGTGCATTAGGAAAAGAGATTTAAAAAAAAAAAGAGTAAAGTACTTGTAGAGATCTTTACAGAGATTTTACAGATCTTTATAGCAATAT